GAGGACTCAGCCACATGGATAGTCTAACGCGTTCTGCATGAGTAATAAAATAGCTCAAGCAAATCAAAGGAGTAAGTACCAACAAAACACTGACTATAAATCTTGTTATGCACACGCTAGTTTTTTTTTGACGAAAATCTGGCGTTGCAACTTTTCATCACTTGGAAGGAGAGAAAAAGTCAGTTGTGCACGCCCGAGGGTCAGCGTCAAAGAACCATCCGGTACCGCAACAACAGGTTGCCACACGCGCCGCAATAGGGATTGCAAAACACTAATGTTCAGTCAGGTTCCAGGGGTCTATGCATCAGGCTGTAAATCTTGCATTTCTGTGCTGAATTCGAGAGCTCGATTGCACGCTAGTCATAAGAGATGAAAACAGGCTCTTTCATCGGTCACTACATGTTTCAGTGATTGTACAGCCTACAAAATCAGACAATCATACAAGAAACAACCATTCCATGCAAAGCTCTACCGTAAGGCCTAATAGCCAAAATTTTCGAGCATCATGCAACTTTGCCCTTTTCTTGAAATCAATTTAGGAGTGACAAGCTCATACACAGCAACTGAGGTGACCGTTAGTGTGGGATTACTTCAAAAGATGGCTGGATTGAGTAAGAATTAAATATCAATATCTTTCAGGGTATTCAACGGCCCTAAATTTGGCTAGCGATAACTTGGGCAGATGAGTCACAATTTGTAAAAACAATGGGAAATCAATACACACACTTTTTACCAGCTAGGATGCGGCATAGGGCATGTGGTTAAATGAGAAACTAGGCATCATGTATAAAAGATGGTGGCTGCCACGAAAACTAAGGCAATGTGGGTAGCAATTCATGGTACTGAAGCTATCAGCAGAGGCTACTAGCCACAAAGCAACCGAGACACTCATTCATGACTTCAAGTCTTCAACACAGATTTCATTTGGTTGCTACGTAAAAGATGCTACAGACATAAACACTGGCAATGAACTGAGCAAGAACAAGGATTCATAAGAAACATGGGTGACAAGCAAGCCAATCAATCGCTGATAACGCTCAATGAAAGGACAAGAGTTGTGAACCAAAGAAGAGAAAGAAAAAGAATGAGGAAATTAAGTGATCAATACTACCAGGTCTACCGTGGTTTTGTTGGCAAATTTAGTCCAGATGATCTGCAAAAACAAAACCGGGAAGATGTTGTAATATTTAGACTGAGGACAAGAAAAGGAAACAAAGTAGTGAATTCAGTATCAGTCTAACAATCTATCATGGAATTACCTCAAGCGGTTTTTCTTCGAAGAGAAAACCCCCATCAATGCCGAAGATTGCGAAACCAGAAGGTGTCTCAAAGAGCAGCTTCAGAAGAGTTTCATCCGCCATAAGAAAATGTCTATAAATGGGGGGACAAGCAAATTAAAACACATGGCGGGCCAGTAACTGATTGCTCCCCACCCCTCAGGGCTCAGGCCACAAAATAGCACATGAGGCACATAAATTAAATAAAATGGACATGCATGCTACAGTCCTTATTTGTGGAACACATTCTGATCCCAGAGGGAAAATATATATAACATGAAAAAAATTATGTTGAATATACTATATATGACTAACAATAAATCATTTTACCAACCAAGAATAAGAGAAGCATCATGACATGCTTAAAACCCCCGTTGTAGTTCCTAGTAGTCATTTGGAAACAGTTTCAGCAGCAGCATCAAGCTCCTGAAAAGGGAAGCTGCAGCCATAATCTATCTGGAGATGTAATGGATACAAGTGACGAGGTGCCGATCTTAGAGCAACACCCCATATTACTAGTACTCCAAAGAAGTAACTAGAGTGCTCTCCATTTCTCCAACACCCCAGAACATGACTCGTTCATATCTTTGGCAAGAACTGAACTGCTGAACTCGGTCAACAAGGGTATGGTAGGGATCTGGGCATTGGCCTTACCTTAGCCGGCGAGAAGGAGGATGAAGGCCCTACGGTGGTGGCGGCGGCAGACGAGGAAGGGCCGAGAAAATCGGGGCAGTCCGGGGGCGCCGACTATGGTTTCTCGGCGTGGGCGGCACAAAACGTCGGATGAGGGCGGGATAAGGGGTTCACGATGGTGGCGGCGCCAGCTTCAGCCGGTGGTTGCGGCCGCCGAGCAGAAGGCCGTCGCCGCAGTCTGTAAAGATGATCGGCGGTTAGGGTTTGGCACACTTTTGTGGAGCTGCACGCGCACGTATATTGTGTTGTGCAAAGTTTTAAATAGCTCCTTGGCTCGG